TGAACACCAGTGAAAGTGTCCTGGTCCTTCTTATACACAACACAGAGACCAAGAGAAGCGTGACAGCGCTCACCGGTTACAGAGAGTATGAAAACTACATGCCAAATAGCCAAGAAAAAATATATGATTACGGCTATGAATCCGTTACATTGTTTCTCAGTCACTCCTGAAATGACTATGATTGACAGTGATAAGTTCTGTGGAGAACACAAGCTCAAGACACTTTCACGTTTTATTCTACGACTCAGTCCGCGTTTACACACTGTTGGGCCCGTTGTGTAGTTTGTTAATAGACAATTTTTAGCTTTTTACTTCTATGGCGACTGCATTTAGGCTTCAAAATTCATAAAAGTTGTGTTCATCTGTGACAATTGTTTTGATGGATAAATCGTGTAAGTATCATAAACTTTTGTTAATTACAGAGCTTATTTTTAGTGATAATTCAAAAGCCTATGGGAAATATCCTGTTGGGTTTTTGAGGGAACCAGTGTGTGATGTGAATTGCAAGTGACATCATACTTGCACCACTGTATGAGCAAACCAGTCCTCTGCTGCCATCTACTGGTTATAGTGGGCATTTCATGATGTCATTTTCCTTTTTACCTCCTGAGACCCGAGAGTTTGCCTGGTGTGCATTTTATAATTGTTCTTGCTATTTGGGATAAGTTGGACCTAATAAGTATAATAACTAAAATTTGTTTTTTTGTACAGGAAGTAGTTTTTGCATAAAAGGATATCCCCATGCGAGGACAGTGGGTCTATCTTAACCTCCTAAAGCTGAGTTTTGGTTTGGCGTGCATTTTAGATTGCTTAGCTTTTTGGGGTTAGGATGGACCAATAAATATAATAACCAGATATTATCTTTCAACATGAAGCACGTTTAAAAAAAAAAAAAAGTGTCTGTATTCACAGAAAACAATCAATACACCATTGTGTAACAAAGTGCAAATCTTTTTTTTTTTACAGCCTGAGCACTGTGCCTGAACATTTTTCGTTGTAACTCTTGCATGTATAACTTCTGAACATTGATATGGAAAAACAAAATGATATATCCAAATAAAAAACAAATCCAAAAAAACTTGAAAATGTGCTTTCTTTTTTGTAACACTCCAAAACTTCTGCTTCTCCAAACTAGGAATGTTCTTTTTATCTGTGGGAACAGTTGATCACACTTAACCGGTGTGAAAGACTGTGAGTAGTAATAGTCCTTTGGCTTATGTCAAAATGATTTATGGTCCCCTTGATTGATGGTTTTGACAGCTGTTTCTGACAGGATATGAGGATGGGAAGGGGTTTATGACCTTCTGGCCAGTGTGTTTCCGGAGTGTTTATGATGTGTGTTTATGACCCTGCAATCTGCTTTGTCTTACTTTGAATAATGCTTTGTATTATTCACTTACACCGGTAAATAAAACATAATAATATTTGAAATAAGATGTTAAATTATCCACAATATACTGTACACAGTTAAATAAACAGTGAATAATAGTTGATATTATACGAAATAAGCTGTTTAATTATCAAGTATTTTAATGTAATACACCTCGAAATACTGCATTAAACAGATAAATAAAACATAAATTAGTGGATAATAGTTAATTAAATTATCCACAATATACTGTCTTACACAGTTAAATAAAACATATAATATAGTGAATAATAGTTCATATTATTTGAAATAAGATGTTAAATTATCATGTATTATTTTGTTGTAATAAATGACACCAAACAGACATGAAATACAGCTCATCCGGTCATGTAACTGTCAAAAAAAAATTATGAAGTTCATACAATACAAGTTATGCGAAAATAAACAACGAGAAACACAACGGATACCATGTGCTCGACAATGAGTTTTAGCATAAAATAAATTATTCATCAACTCTATGTCTCTTATGATTCAAATATGAAATAAAATACTTTTAAAATAACAATTCTGACATTAAGATAAATAGAAACGTCCCTGAGAACATTTTATTTCAGCTCGACCGGACAGAGATTTTCCACCTACCATTCTCCTCAACAGCTTGCAGGAGACTGAAGAGAAAATGGCCGGCTCCACTCATAATTTGCCCTAGCCGCCTGCAGGTGTCCCCGTATCCCGCTCTTTTAGATGCACTTAATACATTATTTTTACCGGGAATGCTTCAGATCAGGAGATTTTATGGTAGGAGACAGTTGTGGTCTTTGATTGTAAAACACCAGGTGACCGGCTTATCTTTTAATTGGTTAATGTTTCCTGAAACAAACTGCTAATGCTAACACATAGCAGCTACACAGAGAGCAAGGGGCGGCCCCGGGCCCCGGCCATGATAGAAGCGATCCTCATTTTCAATTTAGCAAACGGAGAGCAAACATCTCTTCTGCTCAGAAATGCAAGGATCTGTGATTTTAACCTGTGCCATAAAGACTTCCAAACAACACTTCCAAACATGTTTAAAACTAATTTAAAATACTTGATAAATCTTATTTCAAATAATACAAACAATTATTCATTATTTTATATGTTTTATTTAACTGTGTAAGACAGTATATTGTATTATATTAAAATGCTTATACTTGATAATTTAACGTCTTATTTCGAATAATATGAACTATTATTCACTATTTTATGTTTTATTTAACTGTGTAAGGTCAAGGTCAAGTTTATTTCTATAGCACCTTAAAACAACACGAATGTTGACCAAAGTGCTTCACAATCTAAGTACAGCTGCACATACAGATAGCATAACATTTAAAAAAATTCAAACCAAAAAACATATATAAAAAAAAAAGTAATAGAAAATATATATATATATATATATATATATATATATATATATAAATATATACATATATACATATATATATATATATATATATATAAAACCTAGTAACAACATTAAAATAGACAATATATGTAAGACCATATATTGTTGTGTATTATATTAAAATGCTTATACTTGATAATTTAACGTTTTATTTCAAATAATATGGATTATTATTCACTAATTTATGTTTTATTTCACTGTGTAAGACCATATATTGGGGTGTATTAGATTAAAATGTCTATACTTGATAATTTAGCATCTTATTTCAAATAATATAAACTATTATTCACTATTTTATGTTGTATTTATCTATGCAAGTCAGTATATTGTGGTGTATTAGATTAAAATGCTTATACTTGATAATTTAACGTCTTATTTCGAATAATATATACTATTATTCACTATTTTATGTGGTATTTATCTATGCAAGTCAGCATATTGTGGTGTATTAGATTAAAATGCTTATACTTGATAATTTAACATCTTATTTCAAATAATATGAACTATTTTATATGGTTTATTTAACTGTTTAAGACAGTATATTGTGGATAATTTAATGTCTTATTTCAAATAATATTAACTATTATTCACTATTTTATGTTTTATTTAAGTGTGTGAGACAGTGTATTGTGGATAATTTAACATCTTATTCAATTTATCTAATATTTATATGATTATTTATATGCAATGCTTTTTATTTCTTAGAAATCTAATTTATAACATTTCATCTGCACAGAAAGATGTAAGATTCTGTGACTTTAGGCAGATAGACGCATAACGATCGCCTCATTAAGTTCAACACATGTATAAAACTTACAGTTAAATCCTTAATAAAATGAAGTTTTATTTTATAAGCTTTATTTGTCATCAATGCTATTTCTTTAAACTCTTTTTCATTCTCTCCCGCAGACATCGCTGATCCATCTGAATATCATATCCATCCCAGACCTCTTCATGTTCATAATTTCAGCGTTCTGTGAACATTATCCTGATATAATAAAAACTCCCCCTGAAAACAGTCACACCAAGCAGATTGGGGCTTCATAAACACACATCATAAACACACCGGAACCAAGCAGGCCAAAAGGTCACAGACCACCTGATAGTCATAAACCCCTCCCCATCCTCATATCCTGTCATAAACAGCTGTCATCAATCATTTTTGACATAAGGTACAGTATATATACTACTGCACTATGATTCAAATGTCTTAGCTTTTGATTGATTGGCTAAGTCAATTTTAAACAGGAATTTAAACAAGAAATGTAGCTCAGTCCGCCATTTCTCAGTCTGTGGAAATGAACAAAGTAGAATACGAAAAGGAAAAGCAAAACTTAAAAGAAAACAAAAGACTAAGACTAAAATGAAAGGACAAACTGGAGACGTCCAACACAGGAAGAGCCGAAGAAGAGAGCGAGCTGATCTTGATGATCAGTGATTTTAAAGCGTGAAGATGTCACACCCTCTGGAGGTGTGTGAGCCAATGGGAAACTGCCCCTTTGGAGGGAGATTTTACGACTTATTTTCTTCTCGCAGGGCATTTGAATGTTTAATTTCATTGGGTGTTTACAAAAAGAATCAACAAGATTCTTAAAATACTAATGCGTCATAAAGTTAGCAAAATGTAATGTAAATTAACAAATGGGGGACGAAGATTGGAGTTTATAGAGACTAAACATGCTACACATATGATTTTGGGTTAATCATAGTATGCAAGTCATGTCTCAAACCCAAAATCGTTTAGAAGAGAGAATGAATACATAGGCCAAAACATATAAAAGTAAAATTGGAGATGGAAAATTAGATACATGCCAATAAATTTATTGGTCTCTGGCGAGGATCGCAAAGCCATAAAGGTGTTGGAAAGTTCCTCTAAGACTCTGGTTCAATCCTCAGGGTGTTGGAATGCATGATTCACCCTGGCACGGCCCAGATACACTACATAAAATAAAATATATACTTTTTACAAAGAAAGATTACACTTGAAATATTAGTAAAATTGCAATGGTTCTTAACCCCCCCCCCCCCCCCCCCCCCCCCCAATATTGCCTTTGTGAATTTGGTGAATTTAAGAAAGTGTTGATCTCCAGAGTGTTAATTTTCTTTACCACAACGACCTGTAAATAAAACATTTGCTTATTACATCTCTTGCCAATTGAACATTCCTATTTGTGCAGCTTCTTTTATAAGTCATGAAGACTCACCTTTAGCATCGTTCACCTTCTGGATAAACAGTTTAGGAGTTTGAGTCCATCGCAGTGTCACATCTGTGAATCCTCTATCAGCAAGAGCAGATCTCAACTGAAAATAACATTAATACTGAAATTATTAGAACAGTGGCCAGTTGCATAAACCGCTTGGACTAGTCTTACAAGTCAGTTCTCTCATTTTTTGTTCAAGACTGGTCAGAACTTTTTGAAGTCAGCTACATTTGTCCTCAGAATCTCAAAGAAATGCCTCAAACAAACTTTATCACATCACTTTAATTCCCATTCAACCTTCATGGTTACCGTAAAATACCATTAGCTCTTTAAGGTTGAATTGGTTTCTTTCTCTCACCTGTTTCAGAACATTTTCTCTCATTGAAGGGTCAGTCAAATCATTGTTGGTGTTAAACTTCATTTTTACAAATGACCTTTTTAAACAGGGACCTAAACAAAGATACATTCATACATGTAAATATATGAATTAGTTGACTGTGTTCATTAAAAAATCCTCACTGTGTCTTGAAGACAAAAAATATGATGATGTTTTACCTTCTCCATAAACCTCCAGCTCACAGAGAGTGAGTCTCTTCATGTCTCCAGGAATGATCAGATTCACATAACGTCCCTCCATCCCGCCACATGAGTAGTTGTAGGACTCGCCTGCTGGAATAGCAGGAATAACAGCACATCTACAGACAGAGAGAGAAACTGATAAAGGAGATAGTGTGTTGAATCTTTTCTCTCATGTTCTTTCAAACTCAAGAGTCTCACATGGGATTGTTGTTGCCGTTGTTCTCCAAAGAGTTCCCGATGCGAATCTCCGCTCCGTTTATTTGTTCTGCACAGCAGTCTCGTCTATTAGTGACAACCACTTTACTAACTCTGTAAATATGTCGCAGATCCAGCCTCCACCACGGGTTAGTCTGATAAAGGGTTGAGGAGCATCCCGTGTACAACTGCTGGAGACCTCGATTACTGTCAATGGCCTTTCCAGCAAACCAGCTCCCAGATGTTGACGACTGTGTAGCGGCGCCATCTAATGCCAGATTTCCTGGGAAAAGATTAAAGTTCTGACATGTCTTGACACTGAAAGTTTGAACATGCACTTGTGAATGAGATTTGAGAGCTACAGGATTATTGATAAACACCAACTTGAGGTGAATTGAGTCATTTCCGCACCAACTTTTTTTGCTCTTCCTATGTTAACATTTTCCCCACTTCCTGTAGTTAGAATTAAACAAACACTGACCTTCCTCACAACAGGGACACATGCATGTCTCTGAATAATCTGACAGTAAAAGAGTCCGATTATTGGCAATAGAGTTGGAATTTCGTCATACTGGTTTGGGAGGATATGAATAAAATGTAACAATTTTCAGTTTTGTATGGCATGATATATTGAAAAGTGTTCTACAACAATGAATTACCTGCTAAATACCCATAGACTTCAACCTCACTAACAGTAAGAATCTTCTGATCTCCAGGAATATGGACAATCACGTAACGTCCCTCCATCCCGCCGCATGAGTAGTTAGCCGTGGCTCCAGATGGAATAGTGGAAATTACAGCACATCTACAGAGAGATAATCTGTTATCAGTTTCTGTTTATCTGCAGCCACATTAATCAAAACAGTCAAAGAAAGCCTCACATGGTGTTGTTGTAAATGTCCAGAAAGTTCCCGACACGAATCACTGCCCCGTTTATCCTGGTATAAAAAGAGGGGGTCACTCTGTTAGTGATGGTCACTCTGTTCACTCTGTATACTTTCATCAGATCCACTCTCCACCACGGGTCGGTCTGCGTGTTAGTGTGGGCATAGGTTTCAAGTACACCATCGACTGCTTTTCCGGGATATTGGAAATCGTATGTGGATGATTGGGTGGATGTTTGCATTAATGCTACGTTCTCTGAAAGAAGACCAGTAAAAAGACAGTTTTATTCATTCTTGTTGAACATTAGGAAAGTGGGTCTTTAAAAGCATTTAATTGAAATAAAATGCCTTAGTGTTTTTATCTGTTATCCTTATCTTATTAACTAAACCTAAACCACTAAAAATATATATTGAAAAGAAATTAAATCCAAATGGCATACTAAAATTATGTCTGGCATATTACGGTTATATCTGGCAGTTCAAACAAAAAGAATAGAAAAAAGATAAAAACCTATTTGAAAGCAAAGAGATCCTTACCTTCCGCTCCATTCACCATTTCTTGAATCAATAAAAGCCCTGAGGAAAAAAATTATTTAAATGAGTTCATAACAAGGTTCTGCAGCTCGTAAAACTTTTCTCCAAATAATTCACTTTGATATAGTCACTAATAAATCGCACATCATCTGCATGATAAAGGCATTGTAAAACATTGTTCTGTGTATTAACACAGATGGAGGAAACTACTGATATTGACAATAATCTGCATCATGCAAAATACTGTCAACTGAAGTAAGATCAAGATGCTCCTGTGAATTTTTTGCCTCCCACAACCACCAAAGCTTGCGGGCCCAGCCCCTCCTGTAATTGATGATATTGCTCCTGTGAAAGTCAGGAAGAACGTCCCGGGTTACGTATGTAACCCTAGTTCCCCGAAGGGACGGACGCTGCGTGTAATCGCAGTGGGAACGCCCCAGCGTGACGCGTCTGAAGCATGAATGAAATCAGTCAATGGAGAGAATGAGCGTACGGCGAGTGACGTCATAGACCAGGAAGCTATAAATATCCCCTGAGCACACAACACGCCAGCTTAAAAGTTACTGAAGCAGCGACCCAAGGGGATGCCGAGAGTATGGCAGGACACGCAGCGTCCGTCCCTTCGGGGAACTAGGGTTACATACGTAACCCGGGACGTTCCCCTTCAGGGACTACCGCTGCGTGTAATCGCAGTGGGAACGCAATACCCACATCCCCATACGACCAAATCCCCGTCGTGTGTCATTAGGAGACACAAGCCGACGAGAGAACCTGAGCCCCGGGAGTGGAGCTAAGGTCAAGGGAATAAAATCTGACGAAAGTGTGCGGTGAGGACCAGCCTGCCGCATCACAAACGTCCTGAAGAGAAGCTCCTGAAAGAAGAGCTGTAGAGGCAGCCATACTCCTGGTGGAATGAGCCCTTACAGCCAAAGGTGAAGGCTGATGGGCCGAACCGTAAGCAAGCGAGATGGCCTCGACCACCCACTTGCTCATCCTTTGCTTAGATGCAGGACACCCTCTCTTAGGTGACCCAAAACAGACAAACAGTTGTTCCGATCTCCTCCACAGAGCAGCTCTGTGGACATACGCATCTAAAGCCCTAACAGGGCACAGCAAATTAAGTTTCCTCTGGTCTGACGTCAGAAAAGGCGGAGGACAGAAAGCCTGCAGAACTATAGGTCTAACCAAAGTGGTCGGCACCTTAGGAACATAACCTGGTCTCGGACAGAGAAAGGCCTTAACCATACCAGGAGCAAATTCCAGGCACGAGGGAGCCACCGAAAGTGCTTGAATATCACCAATCCTTTTTAGAGATGAAATAGCAAGAAGAAGGATAGTCTTAAGAGTAAGAAACTTTTCCGAAACTTCCTCGATGGGCTCAAAAGGAGCAAGGGAGAGACCTTCTAAGACGATGGCCAGATCCCAAGCTGGTACCCTTGTGCGAACTGCAGGCCTCAGCCTCAGGGTGCCACGAAGGAAGCGAGATATAAGTGGGTGTTTCCCGAGGGAACCTCCACTTGAAGGGGCGTGGTAAGCAGCTAAGGCCGCCACATACACCTTCAGTGTGGAGTGGGATAACCCTGTGGAGAGACGGTCCTGCAGGAAATCCAGCACTGTACCAACCGGGCAGTTAACTGGGTCCTGCTGGCGCTCTCCACACCAAGAGGTGAAAAGTTTCCACCTCGCGGCATATAACTTCCTCGTGGAGGGAGCTCTGGATTGGAGGATGGTCTCAACGACCTCAGCCGAGAGACCAGAATCTATGAGCTGGGCCCCCTCAGAGGCCAAGCCCACAGCCTCCATAGCTCTGGACGGGGGTGAAGGATCGACCCACTCGCCTGAGAGAGCAGATCTCTCCTGATCGGTATCTCTAGGGGAGAACCGTCGAGGAGAGACAATAGGTCCGAAAACCATACTCGGGCCGGCCAGAACGGGGCTATAAGCAGGAGACTGAGCCCGTCCCGGCGAACCCTCTCCAGAACTCCTGGGAGCAGAGCGATCGGGGGAAAAGCGTACAGGCGTGACCTCGGCCACGGATGTACCATAGCATCCAACCCCAGTGGGGCTGGCTGGCTGAGAGAGAACCACAGTGGACAGTGTGATGTCTCTCGGGACGCAAATAGGTCTACCTCGGCACGACCGAAATGTCCCCATAGGAGCTCCACCACCTCGGGGTGAAGACTCCACTCCCCGGGCCTCGGCCCCTGCCTCGACAGGATGTCTGCCCCCTGATTCAAATACCCCGGGAGATAAATAGCTCTGAGAGAGAGAATTTTCCCCTGGGACCATAGAAGGATCTGACGTGCCAGTTTGTAAAGCGGGCGAGAACGCAGACCCCCCTGATGGTTGATGTAAGAGACCACCGATGTGTTGTCTGTCCGGACAAGAACATGGTGGCCTCTTAGGTCTGGGAGGAAATGTTTCAGGGCCTGAAACACTGCCAACATCTCTAGACAATTTATGTGCCATAGACGGTGATGGTCCCCCCACAGACCCTGAGCCGGGCGACCACTCATGATCGCCCCCCAACCCGTGAGAGAGGCATCTGTCGTTAGCATAACGCGACGACAAGGAGCTCCCAACACAGGGCCTTGGGACAGAAACCAAGGATCTTTCCACATAACCAGGGCGCGATGACACCGTCGCGAACTCATGATCATGCGAAGCGGATTTCCCCTCGGGGAGAATCCCTTGGTTCTGAGCCACCACTGTAACGGTCTCATGTGCAGGAGGCCAAAAGGTATCACGTTGGACGCAGCTGCCATGAGACCTAACAGTCTCTGGAACTGTTTTACAGTGGATGACCGGCCTAGCTTGACTTGATCTACTGTGGCAAGAATCGAAGCAACACGAGCAGGTGACAATTGTGCCTGCATCGTCGTCGAATCCCACACTACACCGAGAAAAGTGGTTCTCTGTAATGGAGAAAGAACACTCTTCTTGGCGTTGAGTCTCAACCCCAACCTCTTGATGTGAGCCAGAACGACATCTCGATGCCGAACCGCCTGTTGTTCCGATTGAGCTAGGATTAACCAATCGTCTATATAGTTCAGAATACGGATGCCCTGCAGCCTGAGCGGAGCTATAGCTGCATCCATACACTTCGTGAACGTGCGGGGTGACAGTGCTAGGCCGAACGGAAGAACCCGATATTGGTACGCTTCGCCCCCGAAAGCGAACCTCAGGAACTTCCTGTGTTGAGGGAGGATAGATACATGGAAGTAAGCGTCCTTTAGATCTATCGTGACAAACCAGTCCTCGGATCTGATTTGTGACACGATCTGTTTGAGAGTGAGCATCTTGAATTTGAGCTTTCCTACAGTGCGATTTAAGACACGCAGATCTAGAATGGGACGCAGCCCTCCATCTTTTTTCGGAACGATGAAGTACCGGCTGTAGTATCCTAACTCCCTGCTGGGTGGAGGAACCCGTTCTATAGCCCCTTTTTGCAGCAGAGTTTTTACCTCCTGTTCTAACACCAGAGCCTGCTCGGGGCCCACCACCGTGGGCAGAACCCCTCTGAACTGAGGTGGACGCGTTCTGAACTGAATAGCGTACCCGTTCTTTATAATATTCAGGACCCACTGAGAAACATTGGGAAGCATTTCCCATTCCGCCAGGAACTCTACTAAGGGAACCAGCCTCTCGAGGCTGGCCTCTGGATGAACATCCCGAGTGACAGACACAGCGCCCTGTAACATACTGGCAGGAAACAGCTGGTCTGAACACTCCACAACCCTCCTCGGAGGGGGCGAGCGTCCCTCGGGAAATCGCTCGCCGAGTCTCTCTACGCCCTGTGTAGGCAGGGTTAGTAGAACAGACCCCTGAGGGCATCGGGAAAGACAGGGCACCGTGTTCTTGTGCGGTGAACTCAAGTCTCTCCCGATGGGGACCACCCTCAGAGTCCTGACGTTCAGCCCGTCAGGACTTTTTCGACGCGGCCTTCCTGGCGACAATGACTGTCCTCAGATCAGTCCTGCCCCGAGACGGCCGCGCCGGAGAGCGCCCCGCCTCGTCCCTCCAGTTTCCCTGCGGGGGGGCACGAGACGCGACACTCCGCTTCTGCTGTGCTCTTTTTGAAGAGGAAGAACTCGACGGCTGGGACTGCCCTTTTCGCTCAGCAGCCCCAGTGACACGTATTTTGAGAGGGATGAATTTAGAAAAAGCAGCCGCCTGTTTTTTCTCTTCCTGGAACCTCTCCGTGACCGAGTGAAGAGCGTCACCGAAGAGGCCCACAGGCGAAACAGGAGCATTTAAAAGGAGAGACTTATCTTTTTCCTTCATCGATGTCTGACTCAACCATAAGTGCCTTTCTGTGGCCACCATGGCTGCCATAGATCGACCAATAGATTTAGCGGACTCTCTGGTGGCACGCAGAGTGAGATCAGCAGTTTGCCTAAGTTCGCTAATCATATCAGCCGAAATTTCACCCCACTCAGAAACATCTTTGAGCAGGTCGGCCTGATAAGCCTGCATAATAGCCATCGTATGCAAACACGCAGCCGCCTGCCCAGCCGCCGAGTAAGCCTTCCCCACCAGCACAGAGGTATTCTTTAGTGGTCTAGATGGAAGAGCCGGCGCTTTAAGTGAAACCGAAGAAGCAGGAGAGAGATAGCTAGCGAGCGTCTCCTCCGCCTTCGGCATCGCCACATAACCAGCAGATTTAGCACCAAAAATGTTACCATAAGCATTTGACTGATTCGTGTAAATTCTGCTAGAAACCGGTCTAACCCAGGTCTTTGAAACCTCAGCATGAAGGTCTGGGAAGAACGGTAAGCACCGGCGAGACGGTTGAGGACGTGCAGACAGAAATCTATCATCTAGTTTGCTTTTAATTTTAGAATCCTGTCTATCAGCTGGCCACTCGATACTGAGCCTTTCAACAGCCCGAGATAACACATCCATCAAACCTTCTTCATTTGCAGTATAATGTGTCACACTAGAACCCTCTGATGCAAAACTTTCGACATCCAGATCCTCAGAACTGGATAATCTTAATTCAACATCATCATATGCCTCCACCTGGGCAGAAGTAACCGCCGCAGCGCGTGCTTCCGAAGCCGGGTGAGAGGCACCGGATCCCGCCGGAGAAAGCTGAGATAGGGCGGGGCCCGTCTCAACATCGCCGGTGAGATCCATCTGCGAACCCCAAGTCAAGCGCCGCCGCTCTGCCTCAACAGAAGCGGGACCCGAGCCTTGGGGAGCTCGCAGCAAACCACTCTCCTCAAAGAGCGATCGCCGCGAGCGCAGAGTTCTAAGAGGAAAGCGTTCGCAATGCTGACAGTCGACTCCCTCGAGAGCCGACTGGGCATGCTGAACACCCAAACAAGCCACACATAACTCGTGTGAATCCCCACCCGTGATGTATCGAGTACAGGGGGGAACACACTTTCTATACTGCTCGCTCATATTGGTTTTTTTATATATATATATATATATAGTGATAAACTCCTGACAGAACAGACAAACACAATCGACAGATTCAGACACACGCACAGAGCTGCTGAAGTGACAAAAGCTGGCGTGTTGTGTGCTCAGGGGATATTTATAGCTTCCTGGTCTATGACGTCACTCGCCGTACGCTCATTCTCTCCATTGACTGATTTCATTCATGCTTCAGACGCGTCACGCTGGGGCGTTCCCACTGCGATTACACGCAGCGGTAGTCCCTGAAGGGGAACAGTGGTAGACAAAAAGCACCTTGGAGAAACTCAACAGCTGTGCAAAATATGAAAAGACAATGCAGAAGAGCAGAGCGCATGTGGCGGAAGACAAAACTTGTAGTCCATTATAACATCTAGTTCAATAATTAGTTCAATTGGTTCATGCGTTCATGACCTCAAGGCTAGATTATTGTAATGCTCTACTGGGTGGTTGCCCTGCACGCTTAATAAATAAACTACAGCTAGTTCAAAACGCAGCAGCTCGAGTTCTTACCAGAACCAGGAAATATGACCATATTAGCCCGGTTCTGTCAACACTGCATTGGCTGCCTATTAAACATCGTATAAATTTTAAAATATTGTTGATTACTTACAAAGCCCTAAATGGCTTAGCTCCGCAGTGCTTGAGCGAGCTTTTAAAGCATTATAGTCCTTCACGTCTATTGCGATCTCAAAATTCCGGCCAGTTGATAATACCTAGAATATCAAAACCGACTGCAGGCGGTAGATCCTTTTCTTATTTAGCACCAAAACTTTGGAACAGTCTTCCTACCATTGTCCGGGAAGCAGACACACTCTGTCAGTTCAAAGCTAGACTAAAAACACATCTCTTTGACCTAGCATACACATAATACATTATAGACTTCTATAAATTCAATGTTAGGCTGCATAGATTAGGTCAGCCGGAACTGGGAACACTTCCCTTAAATCCAGATGTACTCGTTACATCATAAGAAGAATGGCATTTACGCTAACTTTAGTGTCTTTGTTTATCCCGAGGTTTTCCCGCAGCCTGCCGGATCCAGGCCGTATCCAGATCTGACGAAGGAGATTCGCCTGGACCCGATGACAATGCAGTGCTGAAGTGCCAACTATCCTCTCCCTATGCAGGATCCCTTTCCCACTCTACAGATAAAGCGTTGTTGAAAATCCGGTTCGCGTACCCCGATCAATTTTTAATGCGCATGTGAACGCCTTCCGGTCACAGGTTCGCATTTAAAGTCTGTTTAGAGAGAACGCCGTCGTCTTAGTGGCCCCTAATGTAATAACAAATGATAATTTTGCTGGAAGTGAATCAATCAAAACCAACTTTAGCTGGAAATAACATTATTCAAAAATCGCTATAAAGCCAAAACAATCTCTGTTACCGTAAATTGTATGTTTATCTCTGTAAAGCTGCTTTGAAATAATCTCCATTGTTAAAAGCGCTATATAAATGAAGATGACTTGACTTGACTTGACTTGACATCTACAAAGACAGCATCCATGCTTTAAATATTGAACTAGGCAAAGCTAGACAGACTTTCTTCTCAAACAGCAACTTAAACAACACACGCACTCTTTTTGCTACTGTAGAGAGACTGACAAACCCCCCAAGCCAGATTCCCAGTGAAATGCTCTCAGAAAGCAAGTGCAGTGAGTTTGCTTCTTTCTTCTCTGACAAAATCAATAATATCAGAAAGGTGATCAGCACATCATTGAGCCGCACTGGGGTCAGACAGATCAGACCACTACCTGAGAAAGTAGTCACTATGTCTGTTTTCGAAGAAATTGATGGCAAAATTTTGGAAGAAATCGTACAGCACCTTAAAACATCAACCTGCGCCCTTGACGCACTTCCCACATCTTTTTCAAAAGTGTGTTAAACAGCTTAGAAGCAGATCTCCTAGAAGTGGTAAATGCCTCACTTCTCTCTGGGAGTTTTCCAAACTCCCTGAAAACTGCAGTTGTCAAGCCCCTCCTGAAAAAGAGCAATCTGGATAAGACCATCTTGAGCAATTATAGACCGATCTCAAATCTTCCTTTCATAGGCAAGATTATTGAAAAAGTTGTCTTCAATCAGCTGAACAAATTCTTAAGCTCAAATGGATACTTTGACAATTTTCAATCTGGTTTCCGATTGCATCACAGCACAGAGACAGCTCTCATAAAGATAATAAACGATATTCGCTTAAATACTGATACAGGCAAATTATCAGTACTGGTACTACTCGACCTCAGTGCTGCATTTGACACTGTCGATCACAACATACTTCTTGACAGGCTGGAAAACTGGGTGGGGCTTTTCTGGGACAGTCCTAAAATGGTTCAGGTCATCCTTAGAAGGGAGAGGTTATTATGTGAGTATAGGAGACCATAAGTCTGAGTGGACGTCCATGACATGCGGAGTCCCTCAAGGCTCAATTCTTGCGCCACTCCTGTTCAACCTGTATATGCTCCCAATGAGCCAAATAATAAGAAAGAACCGAATCTCTTACTACAGCTATGCAGACGACACACAGCTCTACTTAGCCCTATCGCCCAACGACTACAGCCCCATTGACTCCCTGTGCCAATGCATTGATGAAGTAAACAGTTGGATGTGCCAAAACTTTCTTCAGTTAAACAAAGACAAAACTGAAGTCATTGGAAACAAAGATGAAGTTCTCAAGGTGAATGCATACCTAGGGGTCTAACAACTAAAAATCAAGTCAGGAATCTTGGTGTGTCTCTAGAGTCAGACCTTAGTTTCAGTAGTCATGTCAAAGCAATAACTAAATCAGCATACTATCATCTGAAAAAGATTGTAAGAATTAGATGCTTAGTTTTTTGTGTGGAATTAGTCTTATTGTGTGTGTGCTGTGATTGGACCCCACCTACGGATGTAGGCGGGGGCTGGAGGAGTTGAGCACGGAAGTGCAGAGCAGTGTGATGATGGGACTCGAGGCGGCCTGTTTAATAAAGACATAGTTGTTAGATAAAGCTGTGTACGCGCTCTTTCATGACATGGTGTCAGAAGATTAAGTTTCACCCACGACCTAGTTCAAATCGCCTAGAGTGGTATAATGTCCAAGTTCAACGCACCTGAGGCTTTCAACTTCGCACAGCCTGCGACCTGGCCTGCATGGATCCAGCGGTTCTCCCGGTTTCGCATCGCAACGAAGCTGAACAAGGAAAACGTTGAAGTACAAGTCAATTCCCTGCTTTATGCAATGGGTGAAGCGATATTCGGCTCGTTCACGTTTGCCGAAGCGTCGCATGCAAATAATTACGAGACTGTTGTTGGAAAATTTAATGAACATTTCGTTCCCCGGAGGAACGTCATACATGAGAGAGCCTGTTTTCACCAGCGTGCACAGAGATCGGGAGAAACTGTTGAGGCTTTTGTGAGATGCCTCTATGAATTGGCGGAATACTGCGAGTTCGGTGCAAACAAAGAGGAACAAATACGGGACAGAGTCGTCATTGGGATTTCAGATCATGACGTTTCCCAGAGGTTACAAATGGAACCTGAATTGACTTTGGACAAAGCGGTCCACATCGCGCGGCAGTCTGAGCTCATTAAGACCCAAAATGCCAGCGGGGGAGCGGCTGCTGAAGTGAACGCAGTACATGGACACCGGAAAGGCACGAGGCGCTTTACGAGACCACCAAATAAGGAAAGGGCTGGTGAGAGGAAACAAGCCATAGGCTGCACACGCTGTAATCGCACACACGCAGAGAATAATTGCCCCGCACGAGATAAGCGATGCAGGAGATGCAATAAACTGGGACATTTTGCCATTGCTTGTAAAACTAAAAATGTCAAAGAACTGGTGGTGTGTGACACGGAGACTAGTGATGCATTTTTCCTTGGATCTGTAATGAATGAGTCTGCTTCTGAGGACAGATGGTGCATCAATCTCCCCATACAGGGCAGGTTAGTCAAGTTCAAAATTAATACTGGGGCCGACATCACCATCATGTCAGGCTCAACATATGAGAGCTTACAAGGGCGCCCTCCACTGGTCAAAACCAGTATAAATGTGAAAAGTCCTGGGGGAAAAGTGAGCTGTATGGGAAAATTCCTTGCAAATACAGAAAGTAAAGGGAAAATTTTCGTATTGTGGGTTTTTGTAGTAGATGGGCCATTTGCTAACAATTTGCTCAGTCGAAGCACAGCTTGCAAGATGGGCCTAGTACAGAGAGTGGATGAAATATGTCCATAATGATGTCTATGGAGACATTGGTTTGCTAAACTGTGAACCAGTGAAAATTGAACTTAAGTCAGATGCCACTCCTTATAGTCTAGCCAGCCCTCGTAGAATTCCCTTTCCCCTGTTGCCGAAGGTCGAACAGGAGCTGAAGCGCATGCTGTCCTTAGGGATAATTTCCGAAGTCACCGAACCAACAGAATGGTCTGCCCCAATGGTTCCCGTTGTAAAAAAGAACGGTTCTGTTAGGATTTGCGTTGACCTCAAACGTTTGAATCAAGCTGTAAAACGTGAGCGCTTTATTCTCCCAACATTAGAGGATATTGCCCCCAAACTCTCAGGAGCCAGCGTATTTTCTACTTTGGATGCATCCTCAGGGTTTTGGCAAATCCCTGTGGACCCAAGCTGACCACGCTCATAACTCCAGTAGGACGATTCTGTTTTAATAGATTACCGTTTGGGGTTGCTTCAGCGCCCGAAATTTTCCAAAGGGAAATGAGCAAACTTCTAATTGGACACAAAG